GCTCACACCTGAGAGGTTATACTTTCAACACCGGACAGGGTTGCTTGTCAAAGGTCTACGCTGCACACCTGGACTAGTCTGTTTACAGAGTTGCACGATCTTTTCAAAACCCTTCTTCATATCAAATCTCTAATTCATTACAGAATTAGTTTCTCAGGGCTCTTCAGTGCATCCTGCAATTTTCATTGGCTATTAATACTGAGTGAATTGTGATTTCTTAGATTACCTATGGCTTGTTCTTTTTTTCCCTTTATTGATATTAGAGAGAGAGAGAAGAAAGGAGAGGGAGAGAGAGATAGAAACATCGATGAGAGAGAACATCAACTGGCCACCTCCTGCATGCCCCCCACTGGGGATTTGGCCCACACCCTGGGCAGGTGCCCTGACCGGGAATCAAACTGGCGACTTCTTGGTGCATGGGTCGATGCTCAACCACTGAGCCACACCGGCTGAGCTGGCTTGTTCTCGTCACAGTATGTTTTTAGCTGTAGAAAGTAACTAGTATATGGGGATTTCCAGACTCAGCCATGTGGGTCATTTGGTGAGAGGAAGCAGCAAGGTCTTTATTAAAGGCAGGAAGGTCATGGGTTGTGTTTTTTCTTCTTGCTTCTCTTACTGAGGCACAACAACAGTTTATAGGAATACGACCTCCTTTTAATCCTTGGCTTCCGAGCCTGAAGAGCAGGCTTTAAAAGACTTGCTGTGTTCATGCTAGAACACTGCCATTGCGATTTAAAAGCTAAGTAATATAGTCTTTGTCAAACTAGATTATGTCTAACTTACAATATTCCTCTCATTCACAAGCGAATGAAGCTGAGATTTGAAAAGCCTCTTATTTGGGGATGGAGAGTCACTGTGAGGATAAAAGTCAAACATAAGTACCTTGACTTTTGCTGTTAGAGTTCCTGTCTAAATAGCATGCATGTGGCCAGCTGCATCTTAGAAAAGTAAGGGGCACAGCCTGCAGGAAATCTGAACTCCCCGAATCCCACGGTGAGTGGTACCATTAGATAATTTGCACTGGTGAAACGGTCTAGAGTGCTTATCAATTCGGTAAGAATGGGTGGAGACTGCTTTGGGCCCTGTTGTACTAGAAATGTGTGTCCAAATAAAGACTTGGACACTTATAAACATCAGCAGCATTATTCAAATAGCCCCACAGTGGAAACATCCCAACTGTTCATCAAGTGATGAATGGGTAAACGGTTCCACCTAAAAAGCAATGAAGTACTTATACGTGCTGGCACATGAATGAAACTTGAAAACATTATGCTAAGTGAAAGAAGCCAGTCATATGATTCCATTTGCATGAAGTGTCCCCAGAGGCAAATCCAAGAGACAGAAAGCAGATTAGTAATGGTCAATGGTTGGGAAGAAGGCAGAATGGGAAGTAACCACTAATGGTATGGGCTTTGGGGGAAATGATGAAAACATTCTAAAATTAAATAGTGATGATTTTTGCACAACCCTGTGAATATGCTTAGACCACTATTCTATACTTCAGAGAGTGAATTTTATAGCATGTCAGTTATACCTCAATAAGTTATTTTTCTTGAAAGGATTGTCCTAGATAATAAGATAGAGGTGATGTAGGCAGTCAGAGACAGGGTACAAAACAATCCTAAAAACACATGTCTGCACTCAAGTACTTCATTCTTTAAAAGAATTAAACAAAACACACCAGAGAGCACAGCACAGCGCTTTGTTTGGTGCTGGGATTTGTTCCTAACGCAGCCGTCATGTGGCTTACACGCAGAAAAGCACCCGCGTGCAGCGGCTGATGAGCTATTTGTGCGCAGAGCTTTGTCCTAGACGGTCCTCCGGTTAGGCTGCAGACTTCGCGTGTGATACGCGCAGTAAGCCGTACCGCTGAGAGAAGAGAAAATGTGTGTTGCATGAATGAGAGAAGATTTTCGAGAGGAGCTGGCACCTATGCTACACCTAAAATTAGGAGAGAACAAGGCGATCAAGTTTTCTGAGAGGCAGAGGAGCATGGCGAGGCGTGTGCAGCACTGAGCCCTGCGTGGAAGGGGGGTGTGCGCAGCCGTTAGGGAAGATGCTGAGGTGGGGTGGCGGTGGCTGGTGGGCTGGTGCCTGAGGCCTGTGGCTCGTCATGGGGCCATATCTGCAGGTCTCACAGCAGCTTTCTCCCTGTGAGCCTTGGAGTGTGAGCTCACACTGCTGCCCCGCGTCCTTGCCAGGGGCAGGTCCTGGTGCGTAGGTATCTTTATTTATTTACTTATTTTTAATCCTTACCTGGGGATATTTTCTTCAATATCTTTAGATAGAGTGGGAGGGGGGAGAAGGAGGGAGAGAGAGAGAGAGAGAGAGAGAGAGAGAGAGAGAGAGAGAGAGACATTGACTGGTTGCCTCCCGCACAACCCCGACCAGGGCCGGGGATGAAACTGCAACTGAGGTACATGCCCTTGGCCAGAATCAAACCCACGACTCTTTGGTCTGCAGGCTGACACTCTACTGCTGAGCTAAACCAGCCAGGGCTGCATAGGTATCTTTATTGGAGCACTAGGTTCTATTCATGCTCACGTTTTTCCAGACATAGAATGTTTTGTCCTCGGCTCCTTCGAGGAGGCGAGACACACTTTGAAGACTGGAAAGTGAATCACACAAAAGAAGTGAAATGACTTGCCCCATGGTTTGCCAGGCCAAGGGTAAAACTCGAACCTGGTCTCCAGACCTCCCCACTGATACACCTAAGTACTGGGATGGAGACGTCCCCATGCTCGGCTTAGAAGGATGAGGACAGCTGTCCAGTGATGCCCAGCTGCTCACTGTCTGTGCATTCCCCGTGCGGTTTAATTTCAGCAAAACAAGGAGGACTTTCCCCTGATAGCACAATGAAGGTATCCAGGTGATCTTCTCAGGTATTTAAAAATAAAATAAAAATCACAGCAGTACTCTTCTGAACGTGGTAAAAAATGTTTTCCAAGCAATGAATGTAATATAAGCGCCTTCTCTACTAAAATGAAAGGCACTGCTGGGGTCTCAGCTTGAGAAATTCAGGTGAAGATCACTTTGAAACACGTGCTTGGGTTGAAATTGATGGCGAAGTGCTCCGCCATCATCCCTATTGTGAGGCTTGCTAACTTCTCAAGCTGGGGCTGATTGGCTACTACAAACAGCATCCTCCGTGTCCTCTCTTTTGAACAGCTGGGATCTACAATGTTGTCACAGAAAGCTGTGCTCAGCTCCAGGTCAGGAAAAGCAGCCTCTTTTTTGGACTTTGACAGTGGCCTTTGGTCCATCAAGAAATGGCCCCGATGTGCTTGGAATGAAGTCTTCTGTGATCATGTCAGCCAGCAGAATGGTGGCTGCGGCGAAGCCACCAAGACTACCCACTGCAGAGTCGAAAGAGCCAGAAAGTGGCAGGGCTGTAGTCTAAGCCGTGTGAATATTACAGACCTGAAATTGCACACAGGTCTGCGTGCGCTGTTTCCTAGATGAAAATGATAGTTTTTATTTCCAAATGCCCGATCTCTGGACAGCCGTCCCCTTTCAAAGCTCCACCACCAGAAGAGGACCTGGGCTGAGACCACGGCAGTCTCAGATCCATTTCATGCTCTTGAGCTGTGCTAATTGTCAACCAGACGGTTTACAAAAGAGAACAGGAAGTCTGTGGTGGCCAAGGCAATTTGTAGTGGTCTGAAAGCATCCAATTCTCAGAAAAGAACTTCTCTGTAACCTTTAACAAATATGACTCGGTATACTTTTATAGGATCGATTTATTTTTGCTTCAAAGGAGACACGTTAAAAAAGTCAAAATGAGCCCTGGCCGGTTTGGCTCAGCGGTTAGAGCGTCAGCCTGTGGTCCACAGAGACCCGGGTTCGGTTCCCGCTAAGGGCATGTACCTTGGCTGCAGTTTGTCCCCGGCCCTGGTTGGGTCGTGTGGGTGGCGGCCACTCGATGTGTCCCTTTCACATCGATGTTTCTCTCTCTTCCTCTCTCTCCTTCCCGCTCTGTCTGAGTGAAAAATGGAAAAATGTCCTTGGGTGAGGATGAAAAAAAAAAAAAAAAAGTCAAAATGAGCAGAAGTGCCATCGTGTTGACAGTGAAAAGTCTTTGGAGGCTTTCTGCTTCTTCCGGCGACTTCTCCAGTATTACCACACGACACAAATGAGACCAGCAGTGTGTGACGGGCATTCACTTGGCACGTATTCCTTTTCTAGTGCAATAATTCCATGACTGTAAGATAATAGTTTAGACTTACCTCACAGTTACATGGGGGTGATTCAACCCCAGTTGTCATTTCACAACTAGAGGTCATCAGGAGTCACTCAGAGCCATGTGCACGTGATTGTCCATGCGATCAGCTTTATGACCACCACCTGAATGAAATCCCAATCTCATACATTGCATACGAGCATTAGCTTATGTATCGGGGTTCCATCTTTACTATATGACATCATGAATCTAGTGGTCATGTGATTATTATTCCTGAATACCTGAGTTCACAATCCAGAAACTTACCATTAAGGGGAAAAAAGCTTCTTAAACGAGCTCAGTGTTCAGTCTATTGTATTATGCCACAGAGCAGTGATCTCAGTGGGACAGTATGTTTATGGTATAACTGAACAGGAAGCTTACATTTGGGCCCTGTTACTCTGCTTTCTGCCAGACTGAGTTTTTAGAACAGCTGTTATTATTTTTTTTTTTTTTCAAAAAGTCAGAAAATCAATAAGAGACTATGGTGCATAATGAAAAAGAGGAATCTTTTGCTTTTTATATAAAAATCTTATTATAAATTAGTGGCTGAAATATAGACAATTTTTTGAATTAAAGACAAAAATCCCTAATCTTGTCAATGGATTACAATATATAATATTCCCTGGAAACCAGTCCAGTGACACTGTGTATCTGTGAATTATCTGTCCAAACAGGAAATAAGTTATCCCCAGATCATTGAAATCCAGTAAAGCCCTGTTTCACGATGGCTTTTAATCTTCTACCCCAAACTTTAATGCATTTGCTATTTATCTAACAGAGTGAACAACATAAAAGAAACAAGATGAAAGAAGGAATTCAAAAGGAATGGAAAAATGTAAATTCTAAATAATAATAAACCTTAAATGGGCCCTATCATGCTTCCCATGGGAAGGGGTGGCCCCTGTGTGGGTCCGCACTTGGCTTGAACTGATGGCCACGGCCATTTCCACTGTCCACACCGCTGCGGTCGAATCCTGGGGCAAGGTCACTGCGTGAAACAGAGGGACATCTGTAATGCTTTCAACATAAAGATACATTTTAAAAATATAGCCTGCGGCAAATGCTCCAGTCCATAGCTGTTTTAGGATGAACATTGATTTTTACTATGTGATGTCTCTTGAGCATAGTGTCCTCATTATTTTTCAGTCCCTGATCTGGTTAGATTCACATGACATTCTTCCTCTTTCACAGGGCCAAGCCCATGCTCCCAAGCCTCACACAGATACACTCACACACCACACCCACTCACACATGCACATACACATGCTCACACACCACACACACATTCACACCACTCAGATATAGCACACTTCCCTACATACACTGCACCCACATACACACTCACACACCCTACACGCACTCAGATACACACATACACACAAGCACACTCATACACTACACCTAATCACACTTGTTCAGATACATACTCACACACCACATGCACACTCAGATGTGCTCACACAGAACACACATATGCATACTCACACATGTTCAACACCTTCAGCAAATACGTATTTAAGCCCCTAGCCAGGCACTGAGGTTACAGCCGTAAACGAAACAGACCAAACGTCTTGCCCTCGTGGAGCTCACATCGGAAGTGAAGGAAAAGAGGACTTGAGGAAAACAGGAGTCTGGGACCTGAAGAAAGTAATGCGGCTGCCCTTGGTGGCAGAGTTACAACAGCTGTGAACTCAGAAGACTGAATTTTCTGCTCCTCTCTTCCCATCTTCCCCCCAAATAAGGAGGGGATTGAGATTGTCATCTGTTCCAATAATTTGTCTAGAAAAAATACCCCTTATCTAGAACAGTTCAAATGAGCTTCATTATGTCTGATGAAACAATTGTGGGCTTGGGGATGTTCAAAATAAAAGATCCCAATTGTGAGTACCATGTATGTGAACAGACTCATCATGCCAGCATCCCAGCAATGAAAGGGGCACACAGTGCAGGGAGCCACTGGCTGGTGAGGGGTCGTTACTGTGTTAGGGCATCCCATACTCCCCAGCTCGAGAGAGCTGACAAAGTGTAAAGAGGAACGAGAATTCTGTTTGGGATGCTTTGTTTAAAGAGATATTCATACTTTTAGTTTATATATATTCATTTAATAGAAGGTTGTTTGTTTAGCCCTGAAGTTGAAAATATTTTGTTCATTTCAACAACAAGAAAGACACCAAAAACATGACTTGTTTTCTTCAAGATACAGATTTACTGAACACCCTTTCTCCCCTGCCCCCATCCCCAACTGTAGCTACACACGGATACACACAAACAGCTTCTAAAAAGGGCTACATTTAGTCTGTTGATATGTAAGAGGTTATTTACAGTAGGATTAAAATAATGCCGACTTGGTCTGTTTTCTTCTTTATTTCATATTTATTTTAGCATTAACAACAACAAAAGATACCAATAGAAATACACCAGTCAATATACAGATGTCCCAATTTTTGTTTGCTGTGGGGAAGGAAACAAATTAAAAGTATGAGCTTCACTGATAAACAGTAATTGTGATAATGCTTGTAAAGTGGTGATAAAGGAGGGCTGGGATCTTCTCTCCTAGAGGATGAATTGGTAAGAACCATGGACGTTTCTCTGTCTCCTCTCATCCTGAAATGCTAAGATGGAAAACATTTCCCTGGTGTGTTTTTGGTACAGTGGTCTGCTTTTAAGCTAGAGGACTTCATTTCTTTCCATTGTCCCTCGCAGACTGCCACGGTTCCTTGGGATATCCGAACGCTGTATTCAACGGTGCCTGAGGACGCAGAGCACAAAGCAGAAAGTTTACTGGTGAAAGAGGTAGGTGGTTCTTCATACAACTTTATTACTATTGTCTTCCTCACCTTTTCAGTAGAGAATTTTAACTGCTATGATTAGTTGATGCCTTTCAACCTTCATTACCTGGAGATGTGTTCCATTTTCCTATTAACATTTTCATTATCTGCTGACTATTTAAGTTTTGGAATTTTTTTGTTTGTTTTAATTAACCTGAAACCCCCACATCAAAAACTATTTGAGTATTCTTAATAGGCAGATTTAGTTTTATTTTACTTATTTGGACTGAGATGTAGGCATGTTATTGGGGGGGGGGCTCTGTGTCCCCACTTATTGCCAGTGGAAGTGGACTTCTTGCGACATCACAAGAAAAAGAATTTTCTGAGACTCCCACGGGAGAATGATTGGTATTTATTTGCATGAAATTAAACCCCTGAGTTTCCAATGTCCCATTTCCCTTCATCCCACCCAGGGAAAAACCCAGCTGTGTCCTCAGGATAGCTAGGATGAAAGCCACTGTCCAGAGCCTCCATTCTGTATTTGCACAGTCCAGCATCAGGCTAGCTTACCTTTTGTTCCCAGCTGCAATTCATTGCTTGTGGGGTCCACATGGCCATGGGCCATGCAGCGTCTAGGACCACATGGCTATGGAGGGAACACAGGCGAGTGCAAGGAAGTAGAAGCAAAGCCAGAGGAACAAAAGACAGAGAATTCTTTTGTCTGGGGAGTTTAACCTAAGATTTCATGTGCTTGCTGTGGCTCCACCCCCTCTGGCCAATTATCTTTGTTTCCAAGTTAGATTGACAAGCAAGTATTTTCCCTATGTCACCTGACTTAACTGCGCATGCCTTCATCTCCCCTTTGTTGGACCCCTTCCCCCAGTGATCTGCAAGGAATGAACCTGTGGTTCCCTGGGGAGTGTGAAATTGCAGTTACTTGGTGAAGCTGCCCAGGTGGCGATGCTTATAATGTCTGGCCTTCTCTTTGCTCCTTCATGTTATTAATAACTAACTAATTACAACAGTAACAGGCAAAGCCATGCTATGTGAGAACTTTGAATAAGAGTTTCTATTTTATGCCCTGGCCGGTTTGGCTCAGCGGTTAGCGCGTCGGCCTGCGGTACAGAGAGACCCAGGTTCGGTTCCCGCTAAGGGCATGTACCTCGGTTGCAGTTTGTCCCCGGCCCTGGACAGCTTTAAGGGACTGATAGAAACCTGTTGGCATGTCATCTACTTGTATTTGATAGGTATAGGAAAGGCCTACAAAACTGCTGCTTCCAACCAGGGAACAGGCTGCTTTAGGGCAGAGATTGGACTGGTACATAACAGCTACCTAGCAGGTGTTTATTGGGTAAATAAATGGAGCCAATCCTTCCTTTACAGGGAATGCAGTGGTAAAATTTAGGCCAGCACAGGTCAAACTGAAAGTAGTGGAGTCTAAATGCAGTCTTTAATCCTGAGAAAGTAGTATATCCCAGTTAGGATTTAATTAAAACTACACACAACAGCAAAACTCTTTCTCAGCTCTTTAACATGTTTCTATGAATATAAGCTAGCCTTATTTGTGTACATAGTAATACCAGTCTGATTCATCATATTTTATGTTGTACTGTTCTTTTTATACATATATTTATATTTATATAAATATCTTTATGTTGTACTACATATCTTTACATTGTACTATTCAATCCAGGTTATCTTTTGCCATAAAATTACCTGTTTATTTTGTTTCCAATTCCATGATTTTATATTTATTTCCCAAAGTTTATATTAAGTTGCAGCCTCTTTTAAGGAAGTAGGGAAAAAATGCAGAGTTAGATGACATCAGGAAATCTGAGTATACTGTTTTTATATTTACTAATAAAAATAATCATGCCCTGGCCAGTTTGGCTCAGCGGTTAGAGCGTCGGCCTGCGGTCTGGAGAGACCCGGGTTCGGTTCCCGCTAAGGGCACGTACTTCAGTTGCAGTTTGTCCCCGGCCCTGGTTGGTCGTGCGGGTGGCAGCCACTCGATGTGTCCCTTCACGTCGATGTTTCTCTCTCTCTCTCCCTTCCTCTCTCTCCCTCCCACTCTATCTGTTCAAAAACTGGAAAAATATCCTCGGGTGAGGATAAAAAATAAAATAAAAATAATCAGTGTGGCATCAGTACCATAATATTTTATTTTATTTGTTAATCCTCATCCAAGGATATTTTTCCATTGATTTCTAGAGAGAGTAGAAGGGAGGAGGGGAGAGAGAGAGAGAAACATTGATGTGAGAGACACATTGATTGGTTGCCTCTCACATGACCCCGACAGGGGTCAGGGATTGAACCCACAACCCAGGTACGTGCCCTTGACCAGGAATCAAACCTGAGACCCTTCAGTCCTCTGGCAGACACTCTAAGTGCTGAGTCAAACCTGCCGGGGTAGTATCATAATATTTTGTTTACAGTCGCCTTAGAGAAAGTTTAATATGTAGTAGGGCATTACCATTTAAAAAAAAAAAAAAAAGGAGCTGACAAATGATTTTCTACTCAAGAAAATCAGAATCATTGAGACTAGGTCTACAAAAGTTCTGTAGTACCTATATGTTAACATAGGTAGGGTTTGAATTGTATATTACATTGAATTCCTAACAGAAAATATTTAATTAGACCTTCATTCATAGTCTTCTCCAAAATATTGCACATTCTTCATAAAGGTTTGTAAATTAGTTGTTAGATTTCACTTCAGTGTATTTTATAGTTTTGCTGCAAATGTGAGCAGAATGTTAAAAATGCATTTCCTTCTCATTGTTCATTGCTGCTATCTGTTAAAAGCTATTAATTTTAAGCCTTTCTTGTGTAGCTCAGTAGATTGAGCATCGCCCCATAAACTGAAAGGTCCCGGGTTATAGACTCGATCCCCAGTAGGGAGTATGCAGGGGGCAGCTGATTGATGTTTCTCTCTCACATAGATGTTTCTATCTCTCTCTCCTTCTCCCTTCCTTTCTCTCTAAAAAAAGCAATTAAATATTTTTTTTAAAAGAATAAAAGGTATTAATTTTCAAATATGCATAACTTGCTTACTAAACTCTCTTATCCTAACAGTTCTTATTAGTTTTAGGTGCATAGTCACATCATCTGCAAATAAAATTTTTTCTTTCTAATAGGTTTATTATTTCATTACTTTTTGCTTTATTTGATATCTAATGTCTCTAAAATAATATTGAATAATAATGCTAATATTGGGCATCTTGTCTTATTTTTGAATTGGTGTTTTACAACATTTTTTGGCATAAAAGAAATGTTTAAATAGGGTCTTTCTTGGTCTTTACAGTGCTTATAAAGGCTAGCTACTATGTTCTGAAATGCATATTCAGTTTGTTGATATAACAGCTTTTCTGCTCGAATTTAATGAACACTTGTGTGTCTGGTATAAACTTTTGTTCCAGTTGCATTATTACCTTCATGCTCTACTACATTAGAATTGCTATTGTTTTAGTTAAAATTTTTGCATTGATATTCATAAGTGAAATGGCTATAGTTTTGGTTTTTTTCCCCCTTTGATATTAGAGAAATGCTAGCATTAGTAAATAAATTGAGACAATTTCCAATTATTTTTAATATTCTGAAATAAACAAATATTCAGTGAAATGAAACAGAATATTTAGAAATATCCAAATGCATATGATTTCTTAATAAACGGTAAATATGGTGCTTGAAATTCTTTGGGGAAGGGTGAGCAATTCAACAACTACAACCTAGCTATCCATTTTGGATGAATATAAAGTTAAGGCTCTCTATCTCATATTACTGCAAAAATGAACTTCAGATAAATATTAAAAATCTGAATAATTAAACCCAGATATATATTATAAATTTCAGATATATATGTTAAAATGTAGGATAACATTTTTTTTTTTTTTATCCTCACCCGAGGACATTTTTGCATTTTTTTGTTCAGACAGAGCGGGAGGGAGAGAGAGGAAGAGAGAGAGAGAAACATCGATGTGAAGGGACACATCGAGTGGCTGCCACCCGCACGACCAACCAGGGCCGGGGACAAACTGCAACCGAGGTACGTGCCCTTAGCGGGAACCGAACCCGGGTCTCTCTGTACCGCAGGCCGACGCTCTAACCGCTGAGCCAAACTGGCCAGGGCAAAATGTAGGATAACATTTTTAAGTGCAAAGTTATGGAAAATGGACAAATTTAAGCAAATAAAAATTTTAATTTTTATATGATAAATGGTACTATAAAGCCAAAAGAAAATACTTGACCACAGAAATTATTTGCAACTCATTATATCTTTTGTCACATATACAGACATGCATGCTCCTAATATTCAAAATCCTACAAATTAATAAAAAAAAGATAAATACCCAAAAAATATAAGCAAAAAATATGAATAAGCAGTTTGAGAAAAAGAAATGCAGTTGACCAAGAGACATACAAACTTGCCAACCCTCTCTGTATCATGGAAATATAAATGAAAACAAAAACAACATGTAATATCTAAAGGAAAAAAAATTTTTAAATGAATATAATTTAGTGACAATGGGAATATAGGGAAATAACCACACAGTGTCAGTAATACATATCTATAACGTTATGAGATGTAATTCAAATGTTTAAGTAGTACACATAAATATGCAACATAAATATTATAAAACAAACATCAGGTCATAAAAATGTAATTATAAGCATGAGTACTGCTGTGCTAGACAATTTGCAATAATAATTGATAAGGATGGGATTGAATCAATTTTGGCACATTTATATTTTATAATACTATATAGCCAATAAAACTTACATATATTTAAATGTATTAACTTGCACGCCTATGATATGTTGTAAAGAGAAAAAAGGTACAAAATATATGGTATGATATTAGTGAAGATATAAAACCTATATGTCAATATGTAAATATGTCTATAGAAACCTAGAAAAAGTATCTTAAAAATACATATCAAACTCTTACATTTGTTGCTTCACAAGTTTAGGACTGTAGAGGCAAGAAAGAAATTGATTTTGTGTGTGTGTGTGTGTGTGTGTGTGTGA